TCTGAAGCCTTGTACCTTTTATCTACATTTCCTCACTGAATTCTTTCAAGAGCTCCATCAGGCGGGTACCATTTTGCAGATTATAGAAATTCAGGCTCTCATTAGGGTCAAACAATTAGCCAGTGGTGCAGTTGGCCTTCCTTTTCAGAGCTGGAGCTTTTAACCGTGCTGGTGGACCAAAACATCACAGGTTTAGGGCATCTGGACTAATTCTAGTTTCCACATCTGGTAGGGTTGAGCCCAGGCGCGTGGTACCTGCCTGGATTGTGGCAGGAGGGCTGAGCTGGGGAGAAGGCAGTGAGTAGGATATCCTTCTTGAACACCAAGCACAGAGATGTGTTGTCTCTCCAGTGGCTGATGGTGAGATTTGCTGCTCTGGGGTTGCTGTGGTGTCACTCCTGAACTTGGGGCCTGTCTGTCGTGTGTTCTCTCTAGGTGCTCTGCTGTGGGTGGGCTCAGCAATCTAGTATAGGTGTAAATGTCATGGTTTCTTGAGCCAGACTTGTGATCTTGGGTAATTTATTTTCCTCAGCCTCAGTTTCCTTGTTTTTAAATGGGGTTATTATGAGTTCATGTCCCTAAAATTGCTTAGCATAATGCCTGGCACCATATCAAGTGCTCAATAATTGATGACTGCTATTATTAGCTGTTAGCCATCAGCTAGTGAGTCTAGGGGAGACCTTCAACTTTAAAACACTTGAAGTGCTGCCAGCCTGGGCCACAGGGCTGGGCACTGTGATTGAACCTGAGGGAAGCTTTGGGAGAGCAAAAGTATTTTCCCAGAGAAGGGGGTAGACACAGAAGGTAGATCATTGGCCAGTAATCAAGAGTAATCAGGGGACCATACTCATCGGATCTAGAGATATTTTCTTCTGGCTTTAGACCACCACTCGCCTTAACACTCAGTGGAATGGGGGCATTTCAAAGAAAGGGACCAGAATGGAAGAAGGATCCAACCTTCTGGTATTTGCTGATTGATCATCTGTTGGAACTGATTTTCTTCTTTTTTTCATCTGCTGGGCATGCTAAAAGCTTTCAGGTTTCAGCTGGTTCTGCTGTGTCAGGTAATCAAAAGATGCTCTTACGTGGAGGGGCAGTCGGCTAAATGGGATTAGGGCCTCTTTGAGAGCCCCATCTGTTCTGTCCCCACCTGAAGGCCTTGGCACCAGGATTTAGAGGAAGCTGCTATGATGAAGCGTCTGCCCAGTGGGGGCAGGGTGAATGGCCTGGGGTAGGTGGGTCAGATGGAGGCCAGGAAATCCTCTTATCTCACTGGGTACCCATTCCTCCCTCAGCTGCAGGAGCTGAGCAGCAAACACTGGTGAGTCAGCGTGCCTGGGAATTAGAGTTGCCAGTCTGTGAGCATGTGGGGTTTGTGTAAGTTTGGGCCTTTTGTTTCTTTCAGCATTCTAGTCTTTAGAAACACAAATCTGGAAACCAGGCCCTCCACATGGTACAGTCCTTGTTTTGAGATCATTCAGCTTGCACAGTTGCCTCCCTTGTACGATGGTCTTCCAAGAATTAACCCCTTGCCATTTGAAATTGTAATGAGTTGTACTTATGGCTTACTAGCTGTAGTCAAAGCATAAAAAGTCTTCTAAAAAACTTACTTAGGGTGGTTACTTTCCATACCAAAAGCCCTTCTAAGAGCTTCAGTGTCTAAGATGCCTAAGTAAAACTACTACAGGTCTTTGAGGACATGTTTGGACATGTCTTTTTGTCATTTTTCTCTTTGAGATTGGAGAATGGGACAGGCCTTGATATGATAATCTCTAATAACTATAGGAATGATTGTGCTCTTCATTTTAAACTTACTGTATAATCAGAGCTTATCCTCAGAGAGAATTCCTCTCGAAGACAACCCCCAATTTATCCAGGCACTATTTGGAGGAAGCCAGGTATTTTAGGTAAAGTTTAAAGCTCCAGCCGTTCATAAAAACCACCCTTTTGTCCCACTGCCCGTTCTCTAAGATCATTCAGTTTGGATCATAGAGGTCGGGAAATCTCCCTAGAACCGGGGAGGCCTGGGTGACTGACGTCGACTTTTATTTAATGTCTGTTTCCTACTGCACTTGTGGCTCCTGGTCCACGCTTCATTAACAACATAGTATCTGCCATGATTATAGCAGTTGGCAAAATTTTATAAATACTAAATTGTATATGAATTTTCCAACAAACCAGTTGAAGATAGGAATATGAGTCCTGAGTAGACAGAGTCATCTTGGAGAAATCATCTCACCTCTGGCAAAATGTCTAGCAATTTGTTTAAAAAAAAAAAAAAACACTTTAAAATTATATAAATAATTAATAAGCCACCATGATGAATTTATGTATCAGTGCAAACTTTTCTTTTTCATCTAGCAATTATCCTACCATTTAGATATTGTAGTTGAGTAAATCAGTTCTTTTACTTTTCTTTTCCCAATTTTTTTCAGTTTTTTCTTTTTTTTTTTCCTGAATATTTTGAACATTTATTTATTTATGGTGAATTTTTTTAAATTCTCATTTTAGGTTTGTGGGTACATGTTAAGGTTTGTTACATAGGTAAACGTGTCATGGGGGTTTGTTGTACTTACTATTTCATCTTCCAGGTATTAAGCCCAGAACCCAGTAATTGTCTTTTCTGTTCCTCTCCCTCCTTCCACCCTCCCCCATCAAGTAGAACCCAGTGTCTGTCGTTTCCTTCTTTGTGTTCATAAGTTCTCATCATTTAGCTTCCACTTTGTAAGTGAGAACAGGTGCTATTTGGTTTTCTGTCCTTGTGTTAGTTTGATGAGGATTATAGCCTTCAGCTACATTCATGTTCCCACAAAAGACATGACCTGGTTCTTTTTTATGGCTGCATAACATTCCATGGTATATATATACACTGTGTTTTCTTTATCTAATCTGTCATTGATGGGCCTTTAGGTTGATTCTACATCTTTGCTATTGTGAATAGTGCTACAGTGTATGTTCACATGTGTGTGTCTTTATGGCAGAATGGCTTTTGTCTGAGTATATATACCTAATAATGAGATTGCTATGTTGAATGATAATTCTGCTTTTAGCTCTTTGAGGAATCATCATACTCCTTTCCATAGTGGTCAAAGTAATTTACACTCCCACCAGCAGTGTATAAGTGTTCCCTTTCCTCTACAACCTTACCAGCACCTGTTACTTTTTTTTTTACTTTTAATAATAGCCATTCTGACTGGTGTGAGATTACATTTCATTGTGGTTTTGATTTGCATTTCTCTAATGATCAGTGATATTGAGCTTCTTTTGCTTTGCTTGTTGGTCACATGTATGTCTTTTTTTGAGAAGTGTCTATTCATGTACTTTGCCCACTTTTTAATGGGGTTGTTTTTCTCTTGTAAATTTAAGTTCCTTATAGATAATGGATATTAGACTTTTGTCAGATGCATAGTTTGCAGATTTCTTCTCCCAATCTGTAGGATGTCTATTTACTCTCTTGATGGTTTCTTTTGCTGTGCAGAAGCTCTTAATTGTTATAGATTTCACTTGTCAATTTTTGCTTTTGTTGCCATTGCTTTTGGTATCTTTGTTATGAAATCTTTGCCTGGTTCTGTGTCAAGGATGGTATTGCCTAGGTTATCTCCTAAGGTTTTTATAGTTTGGGGTTTTACATTTAAGTCTTCAATCCATCTTGAGTTGGTTTTTGTATATGGTGTGAGGAAGGGGTCCAGCCTCAGTCTTCTGCATATGGCTATCTGGTTATCCCAGCACCAGTTATTGAATAGGGAGTCTTTCTCCCCATTGCTTGTTTTTGTCAGCTTTGTTGAAGATCAGATGGTTGTAGATGTGCGGCCTTATTTTTGGGCTCTCCATTCTGCTCTATTGGTCTGTGTGCCTGTTTTTATACCAGTAATTTTTTCAATTTTTTTTTTACACAGGGTCTTACTCTGTCACCCAGGCTGCAGTGGAGTGGCGCTATCCCAGCTCACTGCAGCTGTGACCTGGGCTCAGTTGATCCTTCCACCTTAGCCTCCGTTGTAGCTGGGACTTCAGGCATGCATCACCACACCTGGCTAATTTTTTTCTATTTTTCATAGAGATGGGCTCTTGCTATGTCTCTCAGGCTGGTCACGAACTCGTGAACTCAAGCTATCTACTCACCTGCCTTGGCCTCCCAAAATGCTGGGATTACAGGCATGAGCCACTGCACCCAGCCCCAGTCCTTCTTTTAAAGTGGAGACATGCTTCTTTGGACAACTCAGCCCATAGGCCCTACAGGACAATCACATTTTTTGTGAACTTGGCTTCCATTCTAAGTACAGCCTTGCTGAGGACGTGGGGGAGAAAAAGAAGCTCCTTGGTTGGGAAACTTGGTTTGGAGTACAGGCTTGGTGGATGGTTTCTATAGGTGGATGGAGTAGGGCAGAGAAAGAGCATTTCATCTACTTTGCCAGATAGGCCCAGAAAGGAATCTGGACAGATCAGAGGCAAATTTCACTTTGCTGCTTGGCTTAGGCCCTTGCTTGTAGTCTTGACAACCTCATCGTTAGACCAATATGAGACTGTTGTTCTGAATATGGCCACCCCTCCTCCCTACTCATCCTACTTAAAAAGAAAATCTGAGAATGTTGGCATTAGGAACTAGAAGATGAACCCTTTCTTTGTGCCTCTGGCTTAACTCAAGTCCAAATAACTTTTCTTACATGATGGCAAGTTGGCAAGACAGATTTCCTCTGGAATATTTCTGTCAAACTGTAGTCTTTGATGCATTCTACATATGAATCAGCCTCTTTGAAACCGATTTTACCTTAAGACTTTTAGGAATTTCCCTCATTGGTTCTCCATATGTGCCCCAGCCACTGCGTCGCCAAGGTGAAGTTACGGAGCTGGCCTATGAAGCAGATGATAAACTTGGGGTCTCTCCTATGGTTCGTTGTTGGCTCATGGAAATAGACTGGTGAACCAGTGCGCAGTCCCTAGAAGGTAGGGTCCATACCCCATTTCCCCTGCCCAGAAGTGATGGCTTTCTAATTTCCTTCCAGGTTGGCTAGCTCCTTTGGCTGATGGCATGTTGAGGTACATGGGCCAGTGGCAGCGAGGGCATCCGATCCAAAGGGGGCCACTCTAGAGGCTGGGCCACCAGCACCATGGGCCAGTGTGTCACCAAGTGCAAGAATCCCTCATCGACTCTGGGCAGCAAGAATGGAGACCGTGACCCCAGCAACAAGTCACACAGCAGGCGGGGTGCAGGCCACCGTGAGGAGCAGGTACCACCCTGTGGCAAGCCAGGTGGAGATATCCTCGTCAATGGGACCAAGAAGGCCGAGGCTGCCACTGAGGCCTGCCAGCTGCCAACGTCCTCGGGAGATGCTGGGAGGGAGTCCAAGTCCAATGCCGAGGAGTCTTCCTTGCAGAGGTTGGAAGAACTGTTCAGGCGCTACAAGGATGAGCGGGAAGATGCAATTTTGGAGGAAGGGATGGAGCGCTTTTGCAATGACCTATGTGTCGACCCCACAGAATTTCGAGTGCTGCTCTTAGCTTGGAAGTTCCAGGCTGCAACCATGTGCAAATTCACCAGGTTAGTCACAAGTACTTTATGTCACCAGGTGAGCAAAGGAGGAAAGAGAACACTGTCGGGCAGTGGTGCCCAGCTAGGATAGGACTGGGTTGGCTTCATAGGGTTTTGGGTGAGTTTATTTTTCTGACTAGGTTCTCTAAAGCTTAAATGTTTTGAGCCAAGTTGTGGTTATGACCCAGAGAAGCCCCTCTGGACTCTAGGGGTTTAAAATGTATCTGTCTGGCTCTGCAGACCTGCTGAATAGGAATCTCAGTGGGGAAGGCCCAAGCATTTGCATTCTGATAAAGATTCTTGTCTGGGCCGGGCGTGGTGGCTCAAGCCTGTAATCCCAGCACTTTGGGAGGCCGAGGCGGGTGGATCACGAGGTCAAGAGATCGAGACCATACTGGTCAACATGGTGAAACCCCGTCTCTACTAAAAATACAAAAATTAGCTGGGCATGGTGGTGCGTGCCTGTAGTCCCAGCTACTCAGGAGGCTGAGGCAGGAGAATTGCCTGAACCCAGGAGGCGGAGGTTGCGGTGAGCCGAGATCGCGCCATGGCACCCCAGCCTGGGTAACAAGAGTGAAACTCCTACTCAAAAAAAAAAAAAAAAAAAAGATTCTTGTCTGGTTCTAATGTGGACCACATTTTTTTTTTCTCAGAACAATGCCTTTGCCTAATTCATAGGTCAAATTTCAGGCCTACCTCTGAGTAACTGAGCACCGCTCATCTTTGCCTTCAATGAAGAATAAGCCAGGGTGAGCCAGGTCGCCGAGTTGCCACTCAGCCCTACTGCTGTCTTGGACCTTTCTTTTCTTTTATTCCTTTATGTGTCAGTTCACTCACTCCATATTTATTGTATGCCCAGCATGTGGCAGGCACTGCAAGTGCCAATACAGTAAGTGCCTTTGGGATATGCCTCTCTCCCTCCATGAAGCCACTTGCCCTTTCTAGTTCTTAGCATATTGCCCACCCTCAGCCATGTGTCCCTATAGAATGTGGTTTGTAGAGCATGGGGTTATGAATAAGAACCGGCTTTGAGACCCAGCCGTACAATTTCTGGTTTGCATGCCCCCCACCCCAGACAGGTTACCCTCCAGACCTCAGAGGCCTCAGCTCTGCAGCAGGACTGCAGTCCCTGAGAAGATGAGCAATGTGAGACCGTGCTGAAAGGGTCGTATAGATGTTAAAAATACATACATCATTTTTGTTTTTTAACATTAGAATTTTGACCCCTGGTGGTAGAATTACCCAGGTTCAGAATCCTTGGCTCCAGAAGTCTCCCTTGGCAATCACTAAAAATATACCCCAAACAAACAACCCATAGAGAATCAGAAGGGAAGCAGGAAGCCTCCTCCTCTGGAAGCAGAAAGAATCCACAGCTTAATCGCTATTGCAGAGAGGGAAACAGGGGAGGGAGCAGGAGACTTGATTTTAGCTTTGGGAAGATGAATGAATGAAGAAATGAACCATTATCAGCTGCCCACCATGTGCCAGGCACTGTTAGCAGCAGAGGATTAATTTGTTTAGTCCTCACCAAAACCCTATGAAGGTGGTATTTTTACCATTTGACAGATAAGGAAATAAGACTAATTAGTGGGAGGAGTTGGAGTTCAAATCCAGAGCATCTGGCAGAAAGCCCCACTCTTAATTACTATGCTATATTACTTCTCAGTCAATGGTATCGTTTGTAATTATTAATTGTACTTTCTTCTTTCTGTTGCAGGAAGGAGTTTTTTGATGGCTGCAAAGCAATAAGTGCAGACAGCATTGACGGAATCTGTGCACGGTTCCCTAGTCTCTTAACAGAAGCCAAACAAGAGGATAAATTCAAGGATCTCTACCGGTTTACATTTCAATTTGGCCTGGACTCTGAAGAAGGGCAGCGGTCACTGCATCGGGAAATAGCCATTGCCCTGTGGAAACTAGTCTTTACCCAGAACAATCCTCCAGTATTGGACCAGTGGCTAAACTTCCTAACAGAGAACCCCTCGGGGATCAAAGGTATCTCCAGGGACACTTGGAACATGTTCCTTAACTTCACTCAGGTGATTGGCCCTGACCTCAGCAACTACAGTGAAGATGAGGCCTGGCCAAGTCTCTTTGACACCTTTGTGGAGTGGGAAATGGAGCGAAGGAAAAGAGAAGGGGAAGGGAGAGGTGCACTCAGCTCAGGGCCCGAGGGCTTGTGTCCCGAGGAGCAGACTTAGTGGCTCTGCCCCAGGAGCAGCAGCAAGGATCTGCCCGCTGCCCTGCAGCCAACCAATGAATTGGACCTTTTTGGAAATTACTGAAGATCCGGATATTTTCTACTTTACACCTTTCTCTGCCTTGTATCTGAAAGGGCTCTAAAATGCTGTATCATGTTTTAGGCACTTTCTTCATTTTTTGGTTATTTTGGTTATTTCCTTTTTGGGGGGAGATCTCCCAAAATATTTGAACCTGGCTACATGTTGTGTATCTTTTTTTGAAGCCTTCAGATAGAATAAGCCTGCCATTTCTTGCACAAATTAGATTATTTTTGTGTGGGGGAGGGGTTAGAACAGGGAGGGGGGATGGGACTGTTAGGTTGAATTAACATTACAAAATGATACAGTGCCAGATCTCAGTTTTGCATATTGTTTTTCAGGGCAGGTCTGTACTGTGTGTAGTGCTGTTTACATGGTTGAATTTAGGTTGTAATAATTATTTTTAAAGATTTACACAGATTTGAATAGCAGTGTTAACTGTTAGCCACATTGCATTAATTACCAGGCAATTTAGAGCTCTTGGAGAGCCATGGCCAGCCAAGAGCATTTGTAGTCTGGTGACAACCCCCCTTTAAGCTAATTTATCCAGAACCTGTATTTCCCTCACTTCTTGGTCATTCCTTCTTTGACCTATTGCATTTCATGTTGAGTTTATCCATCAACATGCTGCACCTGTCAGTCAAGTGAGCATTTTTTAAGAACACATTGTACTGAGAACCACTTAAGCATTGAATGCAGAGAAAGCAGTGCTACCTCAGTTTTGCTGGAAGTAGACTTCTTTGATAGTTTTCTTTCTTTGATGAAGTTTCTGTATTTTCATGTTGTAAGTGGAAATACTTTTTTTTGTTTGTTTGTTTCATTTGCCTTGGAGCCAAAGTTTCTGTTCCTGGTCGGGAAACTGCCTGCCGGCCAACTGACTTGAAGGAAAACTGTGGTCTGGAGCTCTGCTTGAATTTAAGGTTTTTTTTGTTTGTTTGTTTTTTTTGTTTTGTTTTTGTTTTTTGTTTTTTTGAAGTTTAGTTTTTTTCTTTGAGTATCATCAGCTTACTTGTCTGGCAAGGGCAGAAGCCTGGGGTTGGCCTGAACTCTGCCAAACAAATATCAAAGTGTATTTAATAGTAAAATTTGTGCCCTTTCCCTTCTTGCTGCACCCATGTTGTCACTTAATCCCCAGGAGTTATTTATTATCTTTTTGTTAAAGTCAGGCTCATTTGGGGTAATGTGATGACTGTTTAGGTTTACATGACCCTTCTCTCCTTTCCCTACCCCCAAATATGTATATATACATATATAAAATATGTATATATTTTACCTATATAAAATATATATATATACACATATATGTATCTATATTCCTTTGTTTCTTTGCCTGTTTAAACTGGCCATAAAAGAGGGAGCTGCCTTCAATGTATAAAGTATAAGAGTGCCAGGGAATGCCATAATGGAGGCTTTTGGATCTGAATTTGGACCATTTTCACTAAAGAGGAGTTTGCTTAGCCCTTTCCTCACAAGAGGGAAGGCCTGGTTCCCCGGACTTCTCCACGCGCCTGCTCCATAAGGCCAGCTTTGGCCAGACTGCCACAGGGGCCTGAGGAGCTGACCTTGGTCCTACTCAGTTTCAGTTAGAGGGTCCTCCTGTTATTTTTCCATTTAAAAAGTATGTCCTCAGAAAACTGTACTAGAAGGATGAGTGGCAGGAACTTGTATAGTTCAGCTTCCAACACTTTGGAACAGATTAAAAAGGGAATCTTTTAAATAAAAACTTATAAAAATATTTTATACTCTTGAGGTAATGAGACTTTGTCTATTAAACATTTGGAGGTTTCTCCCCTAAAGAATACCCCTCTACCTCCCAGGAATGTTTCTCAGCCTGGGCAGGAATTGCATGTTTTGAGTTCCATTGTGAGTAGCCTTACAGCTCTGGGCTCCCATCTTAAGGATTATTAAAGAGTTTTGGCAGTATTTTTCTAAAATTGGTATTGACAGTAGGGAACATTCTTGGAATTTTTTAAAGCCTAAACCTGACAGTTCCTCTTTCAGAGAGGCAAATGGGAAACTTTGAGATCATCCACGGTACAGTATTGCCAGAAAGCTGAAGGGGGTCGGGCCATATGCCTGGCTTCTGTTCTAGCTAACTAAGAATCCTGAATAAGTCTCCAGGGGTCCCAGCAGGTTCTGTAGGATCCGCTGTAGCTGGGGTACCCAGACTGAGGTTTTAGAATGGCCACTTTTTTATTGAGCCAGTTTGCAACTCATTTTTTCTGGTTCTGGATTGGGTAGTGGTTGACTGAGGGAAAAGGCAGGCTGCTCTTGGCCAGGTAAGGCCCTTTCCATCCCAGATCAGTGTGTATCGGAGAGAGGCATGCAGAAGAGGGAGGCAGCCCAGGGCCCTGAATACTCTGGAGAAACTAGGTTCCTTCCCCATCCTGTAAGAAGACATTCCGTGCATTAGGTATACTAGAGTGGGTGGATTTTGTTGTTTTTTTAAATTAACTATTTAGCTTCCTTACCCCCCACCACGAAAGCCATTTAGTTATTTTTTGGTTATATTAATCCATTTGCAAATGAGAAGCCAGAAAAGGGAGCAGTCAGGGAGGGACTTAGAAGTTCCTTCTAAGTTTGAGTACTTTTTACTTGGCAAAGATTTCAAGCCTCTGCAGCAGCTCTGGGCCAATGCTTTCATGACAAGAAATGCAGTTTTTTTCTGCAGAGGGATCCAAGGTGAGGTGTGTGTAGGGTTTGAAGTTATACTTCTGGGAAATGAAAAGCCTTGTTCCTTTCAACCTAGAAATAGGTTTGCCACTTAATGAGTGAGCAGTAAGTCTGTGTAAGAGACCGAATGCGTGCCCCTCAGGTAAGCTAGTACACTCCTTACTTAGCAAAATAACATTAGGGTGATGTGGAGAGGGGCAGGATGTGGATGCCACTTTAGAAATTGGCAACATCTGAGGGTGACAACAAACTGTTGGGAAATAAGAAAGAACTTGGTTTTGACAAATGGCTTTGTCTGTGAACTTCTGTGATGTTTCTTTAGCAATTTATTAGAAAGCTGGTATGAGATGACGTGCTGCTTCATTGCATGCGCTTTCCCTGATCCTTGCCAAATCCGAATGTATCATTCCAATCCCATCTCCTATAAGGGCCTTTGCTGTGTTTCAGCTGGTTGTCTCAGCAGGTGAAGTGCTGCCCACCTGTGGGAGTTGGGTCCAGGAACCCATGTCTGCCCTTCTGATAAGGGAAGACGAATCTAGAGCTGGGCAAAGATCTAAATTTTAACCAAACCTCCGGGCCCAGGAAAATAACAATTGAAAATGCACAAGACAGTGTTTTCAATATTAAACTTTCTAAGGAAGGCACAAACTAGTCTTTTTGGAAAGGAAGAAAGGATTAAGCCACAGAGTATTAGTCTTTGAAGCAGTATTGATCTCCAGGGGCTGGTGCCAAAATTTAGTCCCGAATGCTGGAGGCTGTAGGGTGTGGGACCCCATAGTACACTTGATGGCCTCATATACTATATATCCTGCCAAATTGTATTAAACAGTGGTGGGAAGTTACTGGGATAAGAAGTTGTCTACAAGTTTGCAAACCAAAACAGATCTTTTAGGTTGGTGCAAAAGTAAGGCAGAAACCACAATTACTTTTACACTATTTAGGAGTGTTTGGTTTGCCAGATTCCAAATGAGGTCTTCAGTGTAGCAAAGCCCAAAAGTTAGATTCAATTATGCAATTATAAAGTAGGGCATGGAAAGAAGCTGCTGCTAGGTTTTTGTTGCTTTTTACTTGACTGCTTTGCTATTTTTCCTTTCTCTCATGTTTGGTTTGCTATGACTTGAGCATCTTGGTAACTGACAAAGGTCTTCCTTGGGGGACTTGAACATCTTGGTAAATGACAGGTCTTCTTTGGAGGACTCCAGCAGTATCTTGTTTAAACAGCTGAAAGGACTGTTAAGGCTGTTGAATTGTGTTAACTGGGACTCACTGAGGAAATGCGACATTGATCCTCCTCTTTATTCCACAGTGTGTTTTCTGATCATATAAAGGAGGTTCCCATCCACCCCCCTTCAGTTTATTCTCATGGTAAGCTGTAATTACATATCCAGTTTAAACTGGACTGGAACTGCATGTTGGTGAGGATCAGCAGGGGTTTTCCCCCTTTTCAAAAGACAAAGTAGATTCCTGAGCACTGGTTCCAGAAGCAAAATAGTTTAAATAGCTTTGCATAACCATTGGGTTCTGCTTCTGATTCAGGTGCTGGGCATCATGTCGTCCCTATTCTTCTTGGAAACCCAGCCTATCTCATAGATACCTACTTCCACCACCCATCTAACTTCCTTGCTCCTTTCAACACAAATCTTGGATATTGCCAAAGGAAGCCATTCAGCAGCTGCTGCGATTTTTCATCCCCACTGACACGCAAACATTTGTGCTGGGAGAAGTGTCTTCCCTCTGACCCTGCTCCCCAGCCCTGTCTGTGATTAATTGCTCTTACTTGTTGCACTAATGAATATGACTCCAGTTTTTGTTGTGTTTTTTTTTGACTCTAGGTTTTAAAGGGGGAATGTAAAGCAATAGGCAAATGGGGCTTAGATGAATTGGTCCCACAGATATACCCTGCCTTAAGCCGCTGAGGTGATGAGTCCACTGCTCATGTGACCCTCCACCTTTGTGAATCCCTCTTGGTTTGTGACCAGTGTGTCTATTTGTTGAGGTTGTACAAACTTGACAAAAGTTAATACTTTTGTTTGTATTCGCTGCACTGTTGCACTCTCCAAATGGCCCCTTGAGTATTTTTATTGACTTGTTACACACATTTTTGTCTTTGATGTCTACATTTTTTCCTTTAATGTTTTTTATTTGGAAGGTTACCTGCTGTTGGATTTAATAAATTTGTTTACTTGATTATTGATATTTCTAAAAAAAAAAAAAAAGTGACTTTATTCTGGGGCAAAATTTACCCACTGGGAGCTTCTGCCAACATGATATTCAGTAACAATTTTTATTCTTTGAAAAATAATCCAGATAAGTACAGGATCCTCAGACTCCAAACATGAGTGTTGACCTCCCACATACCAAACTTAATAGGGTAGCTTTTAGGGGTCTCAGTGCTTAGAGGCAATGAGAA